AAAAAGGTAAATGGGACAGAAAGATACAATGTGTTGTTAATGGGGGGGGGGCGCTGTTTAAGCCCCTACAAGGGAATATGAGACTTGCAACCCTTGAGAACCGTATTGTTATTACACCTTGTTTAAGGAGTATACATAAAGAGGGTGGATATTAGTTGACTTTGATGTAATGATAAAAAAAAAATCTAATCAAGTAGGTTAAATGGATCCAAATAAGGGAATCAATCTGATCTTAGAAAATGTACTGAGAAAGGAGGAAGCAGACAAGGGTAAATTACATTACAGGAAAAGACACAAAATCCTATTACAGCAGAGGGAAAGAAGGGAGGGGGGTGAGCATTGTTTGAACCTTACTCTCATCAGATTTGGCTCAAGAAGGGCATAATATAATCAATTAGGTGTAGAAATCTAACTTGCCCTAAAGGCAGTAGGAGGGAAAAGGGGAAAGAAAAGGGGGGGAAAGAAGGGAGGGAAGAAGCAGTAAGACTAAAGGGGAAGAAAAGGGAAAGGGATAATAAAAGGGGGGAAGGGACTGAAGGAGGCAGTGGTTAAGGAGTTCATTAATGACTTGTTCAATTCTTTTTCTAAAATGTTTTTTTAGAAGCATTTTATTTACTCTTCTGTTAAGCTGGGCAATTCATATTTTTGTAAATATTTTATAAATAATTCTTAATGGGTATTCAGGTATTGTCCCTAAGTACTGGAAATGCCAGGGCCATGCAAGCCCTGTTCTAGCTTCTAACTGATGTGGGAGTTACTTAGAGGTTTCAACAAGAAAAATCAAGAATCAGAGAAAAAGTCAGACTGAAACCAGTTTATTTTGGGCCTACATGGCAATGAGCCTGAAATGGATATCACATAATAATAACACAGCCTTAGGCACTGCTCATAACTATAAAGCATGTCCAATAGCATGGCATGGGAGAAGAGCATTGGACTTAAGAGTCAGGTAGACTGAGATTCAAATTCCTCTTAACTACTTGCTAGCTATGTCACCCTGTGAGAACCACTGAGCCTCAACTTCCCCATCTCTAAAATGAGAATGACAATTCCTACCTCATGGGCTTGATAGGAGGATGGAATGAGAATGTTTATAAAGTGTTCCATGTAACCTTAAAGACTAAACAAATGTTACTGTCACCATTATCATTGTTGTTGTTACTTACTTCGCCAGAAAAATTCTAAGATAAACGCTTTTTTTAAATGTTGTAAATATATTTTGTAAATATTAGACTGTCAGATTTATCGGCATACAGTTGGGCAAAATAACTCCTAATAGTTGCTTTAATTTCCTCTTCATTAGTGGTAAATCCACCCTTTTCATTTTTGATACTGGTAATTTGGTTTTCTTCTTCCTCTTTTTAAATCAAATTAACCAAAGGTTTATCTATTTTACTGTTTTTTTTTCATGAAACCAGCTCTTAGTTTTATTTATTAGTTCAATAGTTTTCTTACTTCCAATTTTAATTTAATCTCTCAATTTAATCCTTTGACTTTCAGGATTTCCAATTTGTTTTTTAATTATGGATTTTTAATTTCTTCTTTTTCTAGCTTTTATAGTTGCATGCCCAATTCATTGATCTCTTCTTTCCCTATTTTATTCATGTAAGCATTAAGAGATATAAAATAGACTGTTCTAAAAGCATTCCCAAATGCTGAGCAACAAAAATAAAACCTGAGGCTGCTATCTGCAAAGAGTGAATGTACACCAGTCAATCATTTCTTAACTTCAGTAATAATGGTCGTAATACCAAAAATGAAACCATTTTCATACTAGCTACTATTCAGAATAATATTCAATATATTCCTCCTCTTCCTCCCCAACCAGTGGCAGGGAAGGAGAGTGACAGGTATATTTTTAAATAGAAGTAAATACTATCATTGATGTGGCTCAAAAAATAGAAAAAGTAAATTCATATGGAAAGAACAGATTGGGAGAAGATTCTGGGAAGATGGCAGAGTAGGTCAGGAATTCTAAGCTCTACAGATTTTCCTTTTTTTTTTTGTTTTGTTTTTTTAGGCAGTTGGGGTTAAGTGACTTGCTCAGGGTCACACAGCTAGTAAGTATCAAGAGTTTGGTCTGAGGCTGGATTTGAACTCAGGTCCTCCTGACTTCAGGGCCGATGCTCCATCCACTGCGCCACCTAGCTGCCCCCAGCTCTACAGATTTTCCCCACAAAAACCTCAGGGTGAATGTAGGGCATTAAAAACAAACAAAAATTGGGGTAGAATAGTGGTCCTCCTGGGACAATTGGAAAAAAAATAAAAAATAAAAAAAACCCAAGATTTGGTCCCTGTGAAGTATAAACACCTCCAGGATAGTTCTGCTGAAACAGCAAACAGGGAGCCCTGGGGTTAGCCAGATTGAGAGGTAACCTTGTTCCAAGTCACAGACATTTTCACATCCTGGACGGTGTGGGGAGCTAGGCATCTGAGAGGTAGAAGACTGAGGGAACCTCTGCTGATAAGGGATGCCAGGCCCAGCTGTGCTGCTGAGATGCGGCCCTGAGTGAGAAGGAACCAGCATATGACTGGTGAGTGCAGAAGCAGGGGGGGTGGAGATACCACTGGCTTTGGGCATTTACAGGAAGGAAGAGTTCTTAGTTTCTATTTCAGGCCTGAACAGAAGAACTGAAGGAAGATCTAAGGCCATAGATACCACACCCCATACCCCAGGACTACAGATGGATTACAATAACAAACTGCTATAAATGAAAAAAAAATGAGCAGGCAAAGGAGAAAGAACCCAACCACAGGAAGTTACTATGGGAATAGAAAAGACTGGGGTTCGTCTTCAGAGGAGGATACTGAAGCAAAAAAAAGCCTCTCCTACCCCAAAGAGTAACATCAAATGGTCACCTGCCCAAAAAGAATTCACAGAAAAACTTTAAAGAGACTTTAAAAATAAAATGAGATTGAGGAAAAATTTTGTTTTAAATAAGAACAATGCAAAAAAGCAAGATTATGAAAACAAAGTCATCCAGATCCAGAATCTTAAGAAGAAAATGACTCCTTGAAAATTAGAATTGGACAAGTGGATGCCAGTGAAGTTATGAGACTAAGAAATAACAAAACAAAATAAAAAGAATGAAAAAACAGAAGTAAAACATCTCATAAAAAAAACTGATCTGAAGAACAGATCAAAAAGAGAAACAGAAGAAACATATGGACTACCTGAAAGCTATGATCAAAAAAAGAATCTTGATACAATACAAGAAATAATTAAAGAAAATAGTCCTAAAGTGTTCCAACAAGAGGGGAAATTAGAAATACAAAAAAATCCACCATTCACTACCTGAAAGAGATCCTATGAGGAAAACCCACAGGAAGGTCATAGCTAGATTCTGAAACCCCCAGCTCAGGGAGAAAATATTATGAGCAACAAGAAAAAAAAAACAATTCAAATATGGAGGGGCCATAATAAGAATTATACAAGACCAACCTAATAGCAGTTACTTAAAGACCACAGGTCTTGGAACACTTATATCGAAAAACAAAAGAATTGGGGTTATAGTCAAAAATATCATACCCTGCAAAGTTAAGCATAATCCTGAATGGAAAAAAAAGGATAATACTCAATAATTGCCAGGCTTTAAGGATTTTGTTGCAAAAAAACCTGAAATCAATAGAAAATTTGACATATAAGATCCAAGAGAAATATAAGCTAAACATCAAAGACTAATTACAATTACAAGACTGTTTACTTTTTATACGAGGAAATATAAACTGTATGTCTAAGATTGTTATTAGTAATCGGGCAGTTCAAAAGAAAGAGTGGGGTTGAGCTGAATATGATGCAATACTAAAAAGTAAACCATTTAGGAAAAGGGAAAAAGAGTAATTATACAAATGAGGTGCAAAAGGAAGAATTGACACAGAGGAATTAGATGGGGGAGGAAGGCTGGTAGTTCTGGAATCCTACTCTCATTGAGAATGAGTTAAAGAGAGAACAATACATATATATCTAGAAGGGCACAGAAGTCTTCTAAATTTAGAAAGAAATAAAGGACTAAGGGGATAAGGGGGAAGGGGGAGAGGATAAAAGAAGGACTTCAGGATGGGTGGGAGAGGATAAGGGAGGGATCTGGTGGAGGGAGTAGGTTAAGTAATAGTAGGGCAAGGTAGCGAGTAAAAATAAAGTAGAGTAGTCAGGAGGGACAGGAAATAAGAGATACACACAAACATAAAATAAAGATTCGGAGTAGAATTTATTAGGAAAAAATAGCAGGGGTAGTAATCATGATCTCAGACAAAGTTAAAGATAAAATAGATTTAATTAAAAGAGAAAAATATGGAAGCTACACTATATATATCAGCCATATTAATCGACATTGTTTTAGACCAAAATAACTAGACAATATGAGGCTGGAATATTGTTGTGGTACTGGAAACAATGAACTGGTACACTTAGAAAAATATGAAAAGACTTGAACCTATGAAGGAAGATGTTATTCACCCTCACAGAAAGAGGACAAACAAGTATAGTATGGTCTTACATAGATGCATATGAAGGTATATGTCTATACATGACTATGATTACAGATACCTAAGTATATGTATGAATACATAAGTGTATGCATGTATATATGTATGCATATATGCTTGTGTATGTATGTGTATATATGTATATATACATGTATGCACACACACACATCATCCCTTAATTGTAGCCTTCCGGGAGGGGGGGGGGATAGGAGAAGAAGGGGGGGAAAAAAGAACAAAGTAAAAAGTGCACAGCAAAGAACAAAAGAAAATTTACAAGGAAGCAAAGAAAAGATGGGCAGCTCTGGATACAATGTGTAATATTTATTATATAGGCTTTCTTGAAATGGAAATTTATTGCTGTATATTTTGAATCCTCTCTTATGTTATGCTGTGCACATGGCAATGCTTTTTCTCCCCTTTTCTTATTTTGTATTAAAGTTTTAGTATATAAGTTTAAATTAATTGTAAAATGTAACTTCAAAAAAAAGAATAGATTGGAGATTTTAAAAAATTACCTTAGAAAACAACTCCAAAATCATCTTTTGTAAAGCTTTCTCATATGGATCTTCTGGAAACAGCCTCTTTTCTGGATAAGCTTCATCTAGGTATTCACAAGTGATGGAAGATTCATGTATCAGCTGACCCTTACTGGTCTCCAGAACTGGTACTAGACCAAGGGGGTGTTTCTTAAAGAACCATTCAGGCTTGTTTTTCAAGTTAATATTGATGACCTCATGCCTTGAAAGATGTAAGGGAAAAAAAATATGTCAAGAGTTACCATGTTGAATATTGATAATCTCTAGTCTCATATTACAAACTACCTATTGGTGTATCTCCAAGCGGATGTCCCTCAAACTCAACATGTCCAAAACAGAATTATCTTTCCCTTCAAATCCTCCCTTCTTTCTGATTTCTCTTTTTAAGGAACATCCTTCCAGTGCCCTAGATTTGCAACCTTAGTTATCTTTGATCGATCCTCTCCTTTCACCTTTCATAACAATTCTAAGTTTTGTCAATTCTACCTCTATATTTCATATATTTCCAATCTTTTCTCCACTCCCACAACTACCATCCTAGTTCAGGAAGGTCCTGATTACTTCTAACCTAAACTACTGCAATAGTTCCTTAATGTTTGCTTGCATTTAGTCTTTCTCCTTTCCAGGCCGTCCTCCACACAGGTGCCAAATTGATACCCCTAAAGTACAGGTCTCACTTCACTCCTTTGTGTCCTTAAGTAATTAACACAATAACTGGAACATAATATGGGCTTAATAAATGTCTGTTGAATGAATAAATTAAGTGAAGATTTAATCCCCTAGGTATAAAGAAAAAAACAATCTATCAATATTGTCAAGTGACTTAATAGTTTGTTGTGACAACATTTTGTAAGGAAAAAAATTGGGTGTGTATTACAGGAAACTGATTTAAGCACGGATCGAATGCAAAGCATTAGGGACCAAGCAAAGGGAGATATGAGGATAAATGATAAGATTTAGGTTCGGCTTTCAAGGCGTTTATAATGTAGAAAGGAGAAATAAGTGTACACAGCTAAATGGAATACAAGTCACAATTCAAAAAATTAAAAGATTGTCCCTTGATTGCCTTGCAAACTGCTTCAAGAATAAGTACTAGTGTTTCTTTTATTTCAAGAACGCCCTCTGGCCAAAAAGAGGCACAGAATTACCAATTAACTAAGGGTTCAGAAAGCCGGGTCCGGGACCCCGGCCAGCTCCTGTCCCCCGCCCCAGCTTGCTCACTTGATTCCTTTGGCCTTCAGGATGAGCCGGGTTCTCTCCGCGAAGGGGCAGAATCTCATGCTGTACACCCGTATGACTCCCAGCGGCACTGGGCCGGGTTGAGCGCTGCCTGCAAAAAGCCCCAGCATTCGGTGAGCGCCCTAGGCCGGGAGTCCGTGCCCCGCGCCCGCCTCCCGCGGCCCAGAAAAGCTATCCGAGAGAGGCAAGGCGGATTCTAGCCTCCGCTCGCAAGGGAAGGAGCAGCGGCCAAGCCCGCCCTGGATGACGCCCCAGGAGCCCAGGCGATAGAGGCCCAGACGGAGGTGCGGCTCCTCTGGCCTAGCCCACGGACCCTGAGCAGCCCCCCGGGACTCACCTTTTCCCAGGCTGCGGAGCGACTCGCCGGACATAGCGTCTCCTGGTACTTACAGCAGCTTCTCAGACCTGGTGCTGCTGCGCGGACAGGATGGGGCTACGCAGGGGTTGGCCCCTCCCTTCTCCAGAATCTCCGGGGTTGCGTAGGGGCGATCTGGGGGTGGAGGCGGGGCTGGTAGATAGCCGGTTACCAGGACCTCGAGGGAGCCTGCTTTTTGCTCCGGACCCGCGAGTGAAGAGGAACCCCTCGCTTCCCACTCCCGTTAAGCCAGCAAAGCCCAGACCAAGGTTTGGCTAAAGCAGGGTGTGCGTCACCGGCAGGTTACCGAAAAAGATCCAATACGTTGGTGTTCTCCGTATGATCCTGCAGCCACAGATTACCTGGTTTGGGTGGTCCTTTTCTAGTCTTATTTATAGGACTCATAGCATAAGATCTTAAAATACCAAGGCAATTGTTTTTTCTTTAGTTCTCAGGAAAATCGTTTATCACTGTGCTGGGGATCTGTAAAGATGTAGAGGGCCACAGGCTGTTCATGAGGTCTCACTGATGGGCGGAGGCCCCTCTCGGGTGACTGATCTATGAGCAAAGGTCGCCTGGTTTGGTGCTCCCTTCTGTGAATCTTTAACAATTTTTAACTTCCCTAGTTATTGTATGGTCATTAGCAGTCTATTCTGGGGTTGGAATCAGAGAAGTGCACAGGGCGTGCTTGCACTGTCCTTGAGCACAGCATGGGCTATATAGGTCATTGTAACTTGAGAAAGAGTTCCTGTTATTTTACTATATAAATAAGTGCTTTGCTAAAAATAAACAGAGTTGCTTCCATGTGTCTCCCCCCTCATCAATGTGCATTCGAGATAGAAGGTTAAGCTGGCCTTATCCCTTCAAAGTTAGTATAGGATCCTTGCTCTAGTAGTGAGCTGAATTAGTTGTGCACAGCATCACTGAGAGTAACATTTATACAGCACTTTAGAGCTTATCGTGATCAATTATAAACACATTTGGTAATGTCCACATTATCTTCTTGTATCCCATCAAAGACAGTCTATCTTCAAGCTAGAAATGGCTTGAATCTTAGAATGTTAAATAAAATTCTGTCTGGCAACAAGCCTGAACTCATTATTTTTGTAAGCTTCTTGAGAACTGGGGCTGGCTTTTGCCTCTGTATCCCCGGTGCTTAGCACTGTGTGTGGCACATAGTAGGAGCTTAATAAATGCCTGAGTTGACCTAGGGAGCTTATCCTTACAAACTGGGCCTCCTGGCATAAATTTCACGTAGTGTGTAGTTGGTTAACTTCGAAACAAACATACTGCCAACCCCCGTGCAAGAATCCTAGGCTTTCCTGCTGCCTTTTCTACTTTTACATTTGAGATTTGCAAATGTTATTCCTCAACAGTCGGTAAACTTCTTCAGTCAATGAATGACCAACTTGATGGGTAGTTTTTGTACAGGTACTGTCTCAAAGGGAATATTTAATGGTACTTTTTTTTTATCCTGCACTGAAATAGCAGAACGGGATTGTTACCTGTGGATTTGTTTCATGGGGTTTCTTCAAACTCTAGTTTCCCATTCAGGAGCTGCTTAGCCAACAGCTTTACCATTCATCTTGCTAAACAAGTTACCCTTTTACACTTGATTTATTTAGACTAATGAGCTGTCTTAGAGAAATTTGCTAAGACATTGTTGCCTATTGCGGTTATCTAATTCTTATGGTCTTACAAAGGTTATCTATAATCTTCTGCAATTATCTGTCATATTATAGCCAGCTCCACAAGTATTAGAGAAGTCTCCCCCTTCCCCCAATTGCTAAGCAAACATTTACCAGGGAAAAAAGGCACAAACTTCATGAAAACCATGTGAGGAAAGAAAGCACTTTGTAAGTTATAAAGGATCATATAAATGTGAATGATAATAATGTCTATACAGTTTGTGGCTGGAGAAGAAAGGGGATGAGGATTGAGGAATCCTGAAAAGAAAAGCCAGGATAGTTTCCTTCAGAGTCTTTTTGCCAGGCCTGACTAGATGCATCACATTGGTAACTCAGTAGAGCCAAGGCAATGCTGGCAAAATGGGCAGACACTGGTTGGAAATCAGAGGACTTATATTTTATTTTTGGCTCTGTTTGCTTAATGGTTGTGATGGGGGTGGGGCCCAAGCCAAGATCTTCGCCCTTTGCCTCAAAGGTAATCTGACTCACAGGCCCCAGACCCTCATCTCCCTCTGAAAGCCTTTGGCTCCCTTTTGTCTATAGGCCCCTGAAAGGCCTTCTCTGGTCTCAAACTGTTCCTTATCAACTTCCTTTATCTCCTTTTGAAAGTCCTAGCCCCACCTTGATTTTGTGCAGATGCCTTTCAAACTTCTGCCTTCCTGTTCCCTCCATTATCTATTCCCATTGTCTATTCAATCTCTCAGACCTCCCCAATTAGAATTCTTACCTAGACCCATTTCCCAACCCCCTTCTCTGGCCACCCAAAGTTACTTTAGTATTTAAGATCCACCTTGGCCCTCATTCAGATGCCGAGAATCTCATGCTCAAAAGGCTGAGAACTTCTCATGCCCGCTCGTCTTTATGGGCGTCACCTGGTCAATGTGATTTATCACTGATAAACTTTTCCTCTGGCTGAAGAAGATTTGAGTTGAATTCATTCAGCAGGGCCCGGTACCGCGATCTTGGGGTCCCATCACCCCAAAACCCCTAGACCTCTTCAGTTGTATTATCTGAGGCAAGTCACTTAGCTTTTCTGGGTTGCAGTTTTCTAATCTGTAAAATGAGGGGGTTGGGACAAGATGATTTCTAAGGTTTTTTCCACACTTCTGTCCTATAATCATCTCTCCAAGCTACACTGCAGACTCTATGGATTTTCTCTAGAATAGTAAGGGTGAATTAGTTAGCTATACCTTTTGTTCCACCTGAACCTTTTTGGCTCCTTATAAGCATCTTCAGGGCAAAGACTTTCTGCTGGTAAGTAACTGTTTTCCCTGCAGGTCTGGCACTTAGAAAGTGCTTAATGCTTATAGACTTGACTGTAATCCTATTGTTTATTTATCCATATTTCCTCAACTTATATTTTCTACTAAAAATGTGCCAACCTGATCAGAGAATGGAAGGGCTCCGACCTAATTTAAATTTTTGAATGTAGTTCTTGGGACACAAGATCAGATGGAAAGCATGATCTAATTAGAAAGAGAAAGAGAGCCACTTAAGAAAGCCATTATTTCTCTACCAGATAAATGCATTTGTACTGTGCCAATTCTACCTCCACAATATTTTTGCATCCTATCCTCACTTTTCACTCAGCCAAAGCATTAGTTGAAAAGTCCTCATCACCCCTCCCCAGATGAGAGAAGCAACCTACAGCCTGCCCAATAAATCTGTCCAGCTGCCCTACGGCCACAGATGAGACCTGAAGTATGGAGTTGCTCAACCCCTGCCCTAGACACCTGCTGCGGTCTACTAATTGGTATTTGTTTCAGTCTTTCTCCACTCCAATCCATTCTTGGCAGCCAAAGTGAATTTCTTAAGCACAAGTCTGACTAAGCCACACCTCTACGTAACAAATTCCAATTGCTCCCAATTGCTTCTGTAATCAAGTATGTAAATTCCTGTTGGGCTTTTAAAGCCCTTCCCAACCAAATCCCAATCTACATTATACATTTTTACTTCCCCCGTCCCAAAACTGTTTCCTCACCTGTAAAATGGTGTAAAACCCATCCAGATTACCCCAAAGGCTTGGAAATGACATATAAAACATATGTAAATAAATATAAATGCTTAATAAATAATAAAGTATAAACACTTTAGAGCTATTTGTAAATATATATTATTAGCTCTATTATTAGAATCAGCACTAAACTTTAATCTAATATTTTGTTCTGAACACAGAAAAATATTGCTTTCCAATAATGTGTTTATTATTACCATTCTGCCAATCCTCCTTAAAGCTCGTAAGAAGTACCTTTGAAGTAAGAAATACTACTTGAGAAGGCTTTCCTTCTACTACAGTTGTTATTGCTTAATTCCCTAATGCACCCATGGTGTAATAGGTAGGTCATGAAAGAATTTCAATGAGCAAATATCAATTAGGCTTCAAATCAGTTTTCTGTTACATAAAACCTAAGCAAGCTATATTTGGAAAACACTTTGCCCAACTGGAGGCCTATGCTTTCTAAGACGTGGAAGACACATAGGATATTCCATTTCTTTAGCCAGGACTTTGGTTATGAGAGGGGCAAGGATTGAGGGGAACCTGGGGCATGGAACTTTTTAAACCCTTCTTTAAAGTATTACTGGGGGGGGAGGGGAAGATGAGAGGGAATGAGTGATTGTTATTCTCACCTGATTTGGTTTAAGGAAAGAATAACATACATACTCAATTGGGTATGGAAATCTATCTTACCCTACAGGAAAATAAGGGAGAAGGGGAGAAGATGATAGCAGGGAGGGCAAATTGGGGGAGGGGGTAATCAGAAGCAAACACTTCTGAGGAGGGATAGGGTCAAAAGAGAGAATAGCATAAATGGTAGGGGGCAGGATAGGATGAAGGGAAATATAGTTAGTTTTTCACAACATGACTACTATGGAAGTGTTTTTCATGACTACACATGTACAAACTGTATTGAGTTGCTTGCCTTCTCAATGAGGTTGGGTGGGGAGGGCAGGAGAAAATTTGGAACCCAAAGTTTTAAAAACAAATGTTAAAAATTGTTTTCACATGCAACTGGGAAATAAGATATACAGGCAATGAGGTATAGAAATCTGAAAAATAGAAGGGAAAGGGGATAAGAGAAGAGGGGGGATAGAGATATAAAGGAGGGCAGATAAGGGAAATGGGTATTCAGAATGCAAGCCTGTTGGGATATGGGGGAAGGACTAGATGGGGAGAAAATCTGATACTCAAAATCTTGTGAAAGTGAATGTTGAAAACTAAAAAAAAATTAATAAAGTATTACTCCCAGACTGTGGCAGAAATGAAAGCATTAAATTTTAACATTTCTACAGGTCTCAAGAGCCAGGTAAATGAGTGTTTGGGGTCCTTGAGTGTCTAGAGATACCCAGGAACCAGGAATGGTGAGATAGAGGCATCAACAAAGCTCTCATTGAAATCCAGATTCAGGACTTATTGGTTGTTTGCAAGAGTGAAGGTTCCTGAAAAGAACCAAAAAATGCTTTCCTTGTTCTTAAATGTGGTCCACTGAACAACAACAACAAAAAAGTTCTTTAGCTGGGGAGAAGAAATCAAGTTCAAATAATTTAAGAAAGTAGAGTTCCTGGGTTTTGGTTTTGGTTTTGAGTCAAGATGTGGTCTTCCCCATTCCCTTTGTCAAGCAGAACATACACTTCATTTATTTATCACAACTTTGGAGACCTGTGTCATCAACAAAGAAAAAAATTAATCTTTGAGATGCCACAAAATTTGAATATTACACAGGATCCAGGAATTACCCCCAAACAAGCACATACACACCACAGGGCTTTGGGAGGAGGCAGCAAAGGAGTGGAGGAAACTCTGTAAATGCCGACTAAA